CTTACCATACTTCCCTCCTCTCCTAGACAACCAGTTTGTACTTTGTCTTCTGTTCTCAAACCCTTTCTCTGTATCCTCACTTTTCAACTGATGATATTGTCTTCAGTTTCACTAAGAGAGTAAACAAGCTGAGGATAATTTCCATATTTTAGCACCCCAATTAAACACATAGCTTCATCTTTTAAATTATCAGGTCATCATCTGAGGTCAGGTCACCCCCTACACCCTATTCAATCTCGGTTTGTTTCAGCAGTCTCCTCTTCCATTTCTGTTTAAACAATTTCTGCTCCCCTCAGTAAACTTACATGATGTTATGTCTGCCATCTTAAAGAAACCTCTTAATCCCACTTTAACTCCAGTTTACACTCTATATCTTCCCTTTTTTCAGAAAGTATCTTCAATGAGTTGTCCATAATTGCTGCCCAGTCACTCTTTCTCAAATAAACTTCTTAAATTGATATACACCTCATACCATAAATTTATTCTTTCAAAACATACAATTCAGTGGCCTTAACATATTAAAAAAGTTGTGTAACCACTATCACAATCTAACTTCATAATATATTCATCACCATAATAAGGAACCCTTAACCATTAATAGCCATTTCCTATTTCAGCCCAACCCCCAGGATCTGGTAACTATTAATCTTTCTCTCTTTATGTGTGGGCCTATTCTGGAAAGTTCTTGTAAAGGGACTCATATTCTCAATGCTCTTCAAACCATTGTAGAGGATTTTCGGCCTCCATTCATTCCTCTACTTAAACTGCTAGTACCAAAGCAGCCAATGATACCCAAGTTACTAAATTTCATGATCAATTTCCACATTTCCGATAATTGACTTACCAGTGTCCCCACCCTGGGGAGCACCTTCTACACTTGGCTTCTAGGGCATTAACAAGTTTTCCTCCAACCTCACTGGCTGTTTTCTCGATCCTTTTTGCTAATTACTTAGCAACTCAACAGCCTCTAAGTGCTGGTGTTCCCTAGGACGTTCTGCACCTACCAGATCTAGACTCTATAATCACTTCACCTCACTGTTACCATTTTGGTCCAAGCTACCTCTTCTTGCTATGGATAACTGCAACAGTCCCCTACCTGAGGTCTCTGATTCTTATAATCTACACTGGATAGGGGTTCCTTTTTGTGATGATGAAATTAGATCGTGATGATGGTTACACAACTTTGCCCTCCTATAATTGTTCTCAAAAGAAGACCCCCAGAGTAACCCTGTTCTCATATAAGGCAATTTGTTTTCCTCTCCTGAAAACCTTTCAAAGGTTTCCACCTCAGAGTAAAATCCAAGGCTTTTAAGAACATCTAAGTTTTATAAAATATGGCTCCATCTCACCCTCTGTTACTCCTGTTTTCATTTCCCATTTTATGTCCTGCTTCCTTCATAGACCTCAAAACTACTAGGCATATTCCTGCCCCAGGATCTTTCTATCGTTTTCTTTTGCCTAAATCACTCTGCCTCTATACTTGCTTCCCTCAACTTCCTTCAGATTATTTGCAAAATATCTCATTTAAAATAACCCATTTAAAATAGCAGCAACTTTCTCATTCCTAACATACAGATTAGTTCACTATTTTATTTTTCTCCTAGCATTTACCATCATTTGATATAGTCTACATTACTTGCTATTTTATGTCTCCACCTACTAGCATGTAATTTAATGAGGAAAGGCTCTTAATCTGTACAGTGCACTACTACAGCACCAGGACCAGCACATAACAAATGTTAAAACATTTGTCAGATGAATGAATCTCTCAAAGTGGCACAATCCTCTACCTACACGCAGAAATTAAAACAAACCGAGTCACCTTTCATTCCTTCTATTTTCCTTTATTCCCCACATCCTACCAGGAAGTCCTACTAACTGTGTTTCCATGTAGAGCCAGCCCCACTCTGTTGAAATTCCAATGGCATCACCACTCTTTGCCTGGATTATCCCAACTGCTATTGTATTAATTACCTTGATTGTAGCAATGTTTCTCTACAATCCATTCTATATATCGCCTCCAGAGTAAACTTATAAAAACATGCCACTCTAAAACAGATCATGTCACTCCTCTGCTTAAACTCTAAAGTCTTCAATGACTTATTATTAGGGAGTCTTCAGTGACTCCCTAATAAATTAAGAGTAAAACCTAAACTTACCATAGCCCTAGATCTAGGCCCTTCATGATCTGACCCCTGCGTATATTTTCCACATCATCTTCCTCTACCCTCTTCTGTGCCCATTACACTTTAGTCACACTCGCTGCCCTTCTATTCTTCTCTCTGCGGAAGGGCCCCTGAAGTTAAGGTTAGAACACGCCGCGAGCCAGAATCCCAGCTCCACCCTTGTCTCCCCCAGGCCGACGGCTCAACCATAGGAACCCAGGCCCTTAACAGTGTGGAGCCGCACTCCCACCTCCTCGATGTAAGCGGGCGGGTCCCGTTTGATCAAATTTTGCAACTGCGGCAGGTTGCTAGGTAGCTTGTTGTTGTTTCTGTTGGACATGTTGGCGGCCGACAAGCTCCACGCGGTGTTGATTTGAAGAAAAGTCCTTGCCACCAGCGGCTGGGAATCGTGCTTCCGACGACGACCGGAAGCAGCACATGGGCAGCTAGGTGGGCGGCGCCATCTCATTCTTAAAGGGACCTTGTACTACGGAAGCCCCAGAGTGCCAAACTGCCAAAAGAAAAACAAAAACAAAAAACCACTTTGTAAAGATGATGAGATTTGTTTCTTTCGCTCTGTTTGTGCCGACTACAATAGAGTGGTCCCCATGGAAAGGAGAGGTTCCAATTCCCTGCCTCGCCCCTGGGCAGGGAGGAGAAAAGAAGCTGCAGCGAAGACGGAAGACAGATGCGAAGCGGCAAGGAGACCTGGAGGAGACGCAAGAAGCAGTAGACATGAGAAGCAGAGAGACTTGTGCAGAAGTTGCACTTGCTTCTTGGCCTTGGACTGGTTGAAACGCACGTGGGTGAGAGACTGGTTGAAACACACGGGGGTGAGAGACCGTGGGGAGGTTAACAATGGCATTTCCCCCACCCCCTCCCCCCTTGATTTTGATTTTGCTCCTTTGCTCCAGACAGACATGCTGGGCGCGTTCTGTCCTTTTCCTATGGGTCCCGCACCAGGAGGTACCTTAGACTGGTGACAGGCTTTTGGGCCTCTGTGGACCTGCTTTGGGCCAACCCTGTACGACTGGACACTTACCCACGAGGGGATGGGTAACTTTGGGTGCTTGATTTGGAATCTTTGTTCTTCCGTTTTTTCTATATCGCGCACTAATTGTATTCAAGTTCCTTTCCATTAAAGGTCTTATGGTTATATTTATGTTTTGTCTTGATGTGGCGGGTGGCAGAACCTATTTAGAGCAGGCAGGTTTGGGTTTCCTTGGCGGCCTCTCTCCCTGCCTGTTAACACTACTGCCAAACATTTCTGAGTTACAAAGACGTTTTTTTCACACATATTAGTTCATTGCATCATCCCTATATACCTATGAAGCAGACTGATGAGGATAAATCGTTTATATTTAATTTCACAATCTGAAGTTAGGAGCTAAAACAGAAAATCTGTGAGGAGATCACACTGTTCAGTTTTAGAGAGGGGAGAAATGACAATGAGAAGCACAAGTTTTCCTGTACAGTCTTATATACCTGGTTTTGTCTGTTTCAATGCAAGGTAATCCGGACAAGCAATAAAGGTGTGGACTAGATAAAATGTGATCATGTTGATTGGTTAAAACCTGTAAATTAATTTGTGTTCAAAAGCAACCATTGTTATAAACTTTGTAATACTCTTCAGCCAGTTTTTAGTTCAGATCCTGATAATTCAAAGAGAACATTTTTCTATAATCTCATGAAGTACAAAAATAAATATGCATTAAGGGAAGACTAATAGAAAAATACATATGATCACTCACCCTCTGATAGACATCATTCCAAGCACTTGATTTGTCCTGTCTCATTTTAAGACCAGCTCTCTAAAACAGATTCTGTAATGACTATAAACTCTTTACAGATCCTCATGCAGAAACAAGCTCAGAGAAGTTGATTGCCCATGTTCATAGCTAGTGAGGAAGATGGGATTTCAATACAGGCCCTTGATTGTAACTATATGAGAACAGAAAAAGTAGCCTGGCAGCTGACAACTGGTCTGGTCTTATTCATAGTTGTACAGTGTTGTTCTCCTTAACATAAACAATCACACAAAATACCATCTTCAGTCCAGGTCATCTGTGACTATAAGCCCCAAACAAGACAAGTCCGTAATCATACCTGAGCACATAACTGAGCACATCTCCTGCCTCATCTGCTGCTCCCCTTAACAGTGTATTAAGGTTACCCTGCCCTGTTCCCCACTCTGTCTCTGGTGAATCCTCTCACCTTTGGCCTATACCCCAGTTCTTGTATGCATGCATAAATAAATCATAAAAAAAAACAAAAACAACTGTCAGTTAAAAAAAAAA